TTCGGAAGATGTGGCACAGTTTTGTCGCTTGTTCCCTTCAACTACTGGTGGAAAACGGGTCTGGCGCGGTGCCATACCCTTTTTAACGCCCCTCCCCCCTCTCCCTTCATCCGCAGGGAACCAGACTGTACACGAGCTCAAAACTTCACAGGATCGTATTGCCGATCTTTAAATGATGAGCTTTCAGTATATTTGGATTAACGTTGGACACCGCTGTGCCCCCTCCAGAAGGTACTCCGGTCGACAGAATCGAAGACGTCCTACACCCATCTGTACCGGACACCCGAATGCGTGGCGTTGAAGTGTGCGAATGCCCAGAAAATTTTGCTGGAAATAGTTGTGAGGTTAGGCACTATGTTTCGCAATTGCACCGAGATCGCTTTCATATGTACACTCCATATCACCGAAATGGAGAGGGCGTGGCTGCGTGCTTCATTCAAACGCAGCGTTTTCCTACAGGCTTTTTATGTCATCCTGCTGGACAAATACATAATTACAATTGTCCCAAGAACGCAGTTTTTCACCGAAGCCAGCCGCCGCCACGTTGATATGAAGTACGTACCCACGCCCCTCTCATCTCCGGGATATGGAGTGACCTTTGCGACTCGGGTGGATGGGAGAGTACGAGAATGCGCGCCAAAGAATATATAGGTATCGATCTTGCGTTCTTGGAGAAAAGGAAAATAGAAGTATCGATCGCTCCCACCCACTTCTTTGGCGCGTATTTTTCAAACCTCGACTCCGCGACTCTCCTATTCTACAAGGTCGCAAAGTCTAAACGCGAATAAGATTTGGCCCAACTATGAGTGAATAAAATATCAGGTCCATATATTTTATTTTCAGTCTTGCGCTCGAGGTTATCGCCGAGTCAATAACCAGTTGTACGGGGGTCACTGCGAGAAATGTTCTTGTCAGGGGCATTCGGACACTTGTGATCCGTTCACAGGAGCATGCACAAACTGTCAGGTAAGTTACGTCGAACATCAGTCAAATTCCAGTGGAGATTACAGTCTTGTTCGCTGCGGACGGTGGGGCGGTTCAGAGGCGGGGTTTTGGAGCAGTACCAGGCTGTTTTCCACCAATATCTAGACAGCTGTGACCACCGCAAAGTGAGGGGTGGAAGAACAGGTGCTTGGTAGTGCTCCAAAAAACCCCGCCTGCTGAAACCGCTTCCAGCGGAATTTATTAGACGTGTTGGTTCTACCGCCACTCTACCAAGCGACACTTCTTCCGACCTATTTGCCTACGCTCCTCCTGACCTATGCTCCTAATAAATAATGCGACGAACACACAACCACAGGCACACGGATTGCATGAACTCTGCCTTCCTGGACATTATGGAAATCCTTTCGCCTTAGGCTAAGAATAGAATCAATACTCTCTCGGACCAGAGGGAGCCAAAGATCCTCCCATCCATTGGAGACCATGAATTTCATCATTCACCTCCTTAGGAGTTAGGAGAACACTTCGGCGACGGCGGGAGGCCTCTCTCGCTTTGGCCACTTTATCGATGCCAGCTATCGAGAGAGCCTCATAAGAATTGGACAGGGTTTTCATCAAATGGTGGCCTGGAACGAGTCCTCTAGCAGTAAGAACTCACAGTTTTCACCAGTGTGACAATTAGTCAAAGTTGTTGAGAGGTGAAGCTTGGCAAAATGCCCCCCCCCTCCCCGTCGCCGGATCCGCGATAGCGGTAAGTCTTTCCGTGCAGCTGTCCCGTTTTCGGACATAACCAGAGTCTCTTTCGTGCGAAAAAAAGCCCCCTACCTACTGGGCTGCGGATCTTCTGCTACATCTGGGCCTAGTTTCTGTTAATTCATCCGTGTTTTGTCTCCATGGAATCTTTCCCTTTTCTCTGGAAAGCTCCACATCTTTTAGGCGGAGAACTCGGCGGATGTCGTCCTTGTGCATGCCCAACAGCAGAAAATAGCCGCTCCTCAGAGTGTGTTATGACCCAGGTAACCGTCAAAAAGCTGTAGGTACGATCGGTGTGGGTGGGCAGTGTCGCCAACGTTATTGGTTGAAAGAATGCGAGAGGGCGTTTAGCCCATTCAGTCCTTCCTCCAATGATGGTGGCAGCAACCGCCCGCCTCCAGCGATCGGCTAACTGTCTTTAAACTCACAACCTCACTTCTAATGTTGATATCTTTCAGTTGGTGGTTGCTGGACCGGCAGCATCTCAGGAAGATGCGTACGTGTGCACTGCATGCGAACGAGGTTACGAAGGGAACAAGTGTGAAGTGTAAGGATTTCCGCCGATGTCTTTCTTGCCCCTCCTTCTACACTCGGAGTTGCAATGGGGTGTTTTCAGGTGTGCTGACGGCTTCTTTGGGAACCCAATGGAGTCTAATGGTACCTGCAAAGAATGTGAATGTAACGGCAACATCGATTTAATGGCCATTGGCAACTGTGACTCTGAAACCGGAAAATGTCTGAAGTGCATTGGGGACACCACCGGCGAACACTGTGAGGTGAGTGTTGAGGGCAGGGCATGATGCGGGTAAGGAATTTCCAACGGAGGGGTCATGTTCGGTGACTGGAGGGGAGGCGGTCAGATTTAGTTTGGGGAAGATTTTTTACAATTCGTGATTGTTCTCGCTTCACGCGCTACATACACCCCTTATCACCAGAGCTCGTCCTGGTGTTGGAGAGAAATTTCAGTGAATACGCCCACCCCAAACGACCAATTGTTGTATAAAAATTCCCCAAAATTATCCGTAGATTCGGGGAGAGGTTGGTTTAGAAAGGGGGTCATCAGAGGAGAAAATAGAGGGGGGGGTCGCACTCAGCAAAAATTCCCACTCTCAAAGCCATAGCGGGTTCCTATTTGAAGCTGTACAGAAAAGAACCTCCGGGACTTTTCCTAGGTAGAATTCAGTGGATCCTTTCGCTCTCACTGTCAGAAAGGAGTGCAAGGTAGTTTGGGGGGAGGGGAGACGGGAGTGGTGGGGGGAGGGGAAGGAGGGCAAAAAACAGGAAATGCGGGGCTAGGGTTGCCAAAGCATGTCTTAACGATTCAGCAGACGTCATGATCTTACTCGTCTACGCCCTCTCACCTCACACTCTCTTTTCCGGAGGAAACAAATGCCCTGAGGAATAGTCTTGAGGTCCAAACTCAATATATGTTGCACTTACAGGTTTTTTTTGAACGATCAACGTGCACTGACATAGCGTCGTCTAACACATCGGTCTACCCACCACCCCGCCCCTTCCCCTCCGACCGCTTGCCAACCAGCTTTCGCATTAAGCAGGAGTGCTATAATATTCATACGAAAATACGATTGATGAATTGCATTTTCAGTTCTGCAAAGAGAATCACTGGGGCTCGGCTTTGGAGCACACGTGCAAACCCTGCGGATGTCATCATGTGGGTGCTGAATCGCCACAGTGCGGTAATGAGAATGGTGAATGCAAGTGCAAAATGAATTACATCGGAAAACAATGCGACAGATGCGTGGTAAGTCCTACAGGGCATTTACTGAGATCAAATTTAGAGACACTTTCCGAGACTGTTAGATGGCGGAGGTGGAAACCAGTGCATTGGGGCGCGCCGCTGGCTCGCCCACCGTCGACATCAAGGTGCCTTCAAACAACAGTTTCCAGGATGGCCATGGTGATATCGAAAACGGTTGCCCACCTTGCGAATGCAACATGATCGGAAGCATCGGTGATCAGTGTGATGCAGTCAGTGGCCAGTGCACGTGCAAGCAAGGTGTTTTCGGCAAGGTATTGATTTCTTGATCTGCAAGGTCTACGATCAAACTCCTTGAATAATCATTACCACAGAGATGGCGATCATGTCGTCATCGACTTCACTTTAACTGACGCGGGATGCCAAAAGTTTCTGTCACTGCAACATATCGGCTCAGTTGAGACGGAAAGGTAACTAATTGCCTCGATTCGAAACATGCTCCAGGGTGTGGGACAAAGACAATCGTATGGTATGTAGTCTGCCGGGCTGATCGGAAGTGGCGAGCGACAGTCCGCGTAAGCGAGAGAGAGTTCCCGATCTGCCCAGCTGTTTGAATTGAGAATAAAAATTGAGGTCTAATCATCATGAGGTCATGCCTTTTGCTTGAATTTAGGTGCTCTTTTGCCTGCTCCAATCGAAAAAAAAACTCGAGAGTTGTCCATGTGCCGTCGCGCGATGCGCCGCGCGAGAGACGGGCAGATTACGATTGTCCTGTCCGTCACCTCAACAAAGGGTGAAAATAGTGACCGAAATTCTCATAACTCCACTTCGTGTAAGCAACATCATTGGTCGAAAAAATGTGAGTGCGTCGGCAGTAATGTACGAATGGCACGATGTGTCGAGAAATGTTGCGATGATTTTTCACGATTACAAGTGGCGCTGGAATGTCAGGTAAGTTCTAAACTTTTGTGATTATCTGTGAAATGGAGGCCAAGTTATTGCGCTTCTCCCGGCTTACCAAGAAAAACAGCAAGGGGAAAAACCCGACTCTTTTTGTTTGGGGGCTCTCATTGTTTAGGAAGAGATTTGGCGCTAGAAGTTGTTTATCCCAGTTGCAGTAGCTTTCGCAACTGGAGGCACATTCCACGCTCGTTTAGGCGGTGTCAGGTCTATAATCTTGTGCAGCGTCGTCCCCTCCACTCCTCATAGAAAGCTCGCTAAAGGAAGAAGGCGCTATCTCCGGTTCTGCCCACGACGACGAATGCGGAATGTCATGGAAATCGTGTTGTTGTTGTTGTTGTTGTTGGTTGGTTGTTGTTGTGTTGTTGTTGTTGTGTTTGTTGTCGGCCAGGTATTGTTGCGCCCCGCAACTAAAAGGCGCTAGAGAACGAGTACCGGCTGATTGTGAAGACAACACCTTTCGAGTCGCGTTCACCTCAGTACTTGGAATTAATTACGCAGTCGAAATAGAATGGTTTCAAGGCTTGTGAATGTGGCGGCGATAGGTTTCGGATGGAGGAGCTGTGACCTCGACACTCCGGCATGCGTGCTGTAAGGCCAGGAAGTGACCGGTCTGAAGTGTGATGCGTGCCAACCGAACCACTACGGTCTTGGTCCAGATGGATGCAAAGGTAAGAGTTTGGATAATCATCCCCTAATAATTCCAAGATCTCCTAACTCTTAAACGGACCGCAGATCTACGTTACTCTGGCCTTCACATGAGGCAGGTGGGGCTTAGTAGGGTTACTTTATCTGGTTCCTACGCGATGCTTCTTCTCCCTGAGCCCAAACAGCGCACCTGAGTTATTCATCCTAATGGACCGTTTAATGACCTGCTAAAAAATTGAAATCATTAATGTTTTGGTAATGTTCAAAATTCCAAGATGAATCTACGAAAAATGGTATTCTCCTTTAGAATGTAAGAAGCTTGCTCCAGCTCCTGGCCAGGTCTGCGATTCGGTCACCGGCGAGTGTGTTTGTCCACCGAATACGGTAGGCGAAATGTGCGAGAATTGCACCGAAAACGCTTGGGACTATCATCCATTGAAAGGCTGTAAGCTCTGTGAATGTTCCGACGTTGGCAGCAGCAACGGCAAATGTGACATGCGAACAGGACAGGTTAGTGAGCAGTTAAGTGATATTTCCACGACATACACCTCATATCAAAGACATGGAGAGGGCGTGGCTGCGTACTTCATTTTAAACTTACAATTAGCAGGCTGGATGTTTGTGAGATATTTCCTACTTGAAGACGTAATTACACTTGTTCCGAAACGGGAAATACCGATCAAAAGTGCAGCCGCTGATATAATCGAGTGGAGTACGCAGCCACACCCTCTCCATATTTCAGACATGGAGTGTGTCTTGAGCGCACATATCTATTCGAATTGACTTTACAGTGCAAGTGTCGCAACGAATACGTGGGATTGCGCTGTGATCTATGCACCCATGGATTCTTTGGTTTCCCCAGTTGTCAGCCATGTAACTGCGACCCGAGCGGTACTGATCCACTTCAGTGCAAAGACGGGCTCTGCTTATGCAACGAAGAGGGCGAGTGCCCATGCAAGGTAATTAATTATTGGAGCAGTAATAGTTAGAGGGTGCCACGCGGTGTCTCGCCTATGACATTCTCGTCTTGCCCTGGCGTGAATGGCATAGGTGTCTGCTCCTGGCATGGCTTTTCGAAGCCTTAGAACGGTCACATACGACTTCTGCTAGTCGGTGCTTCCCTGCTCGAAGACATCTATCCTCGCTGAGAGGAGCGCGGACGAGCAGGCACGCCGTAGCAATAGGCCACCGTGTAGCACCTCTCGACAATATTTTTCTGGATTGTTGGTTGAAGCCACCGAACATTCGATATATCTCAATTCCATCCAGAAAAACGTAATTGGAGCCGAAATGCGACCAGTGTAAGGAGAGCACGTTCAGCTTGGAGGCCTCAAACCCCCCTTGGAATGCACCAGTTGCTTCTGCTTCAACAGGTTTGCGATATTTTCCATCTTGGATATGTAGAGAGCGGATATTTGACATTCCAGGAGTACCACCTGTGAACAGAGTTCACTTCAATGGCAGCAGACCTATGCTGAGGATCGACGAGCCGTTTTCGAAGAGCCATGGGAGTACTACACGAAGAAGCACAATTTGAATCTACTGAAAGTTGGTTATGAAAGGGGATTACCCTGTCTAAAAATTTTTATTAACCGTTTATTGCTGTCAGGAATACCCGGCTCGTTACAACAGCTATCCTACCGATGCCGTCCCGTTGTACTGGCCGCTACCGAAATCAATGCTGGGCGATAGGACTTCCAGTTACAATGGTTTTCTGCGGTTCAAGGTACGTAAGTCTTGAAATTTGGATTTTCGAAGCTTTTTTCACACATATCTCCTTAGACGCTTTTTTACGGATGCTACTTTGTTTCTCCATAAAAAAACTATGACCCCCCCCACCCCCCAGGATCTCGTTCGACGGGGCCGGAAGGCAGTGAACCTGGCGCCGTTTCTCTTATCCCGTCCGCGCTGCCACACGCTGGTCACGAAGCCGGCAAACCGTAGTCAAACGCACTGCTCCATTTGGAGCTAACAAGCTTTTCCCCAAGGCAACTGCAGCAGAGAATGTGAGCGTGTCCAAGAATTGCTCCCACTCTAACTAAGCGTGCGTTTATACTGCGCGACTTGACTGAATGCGACAAGGGCGCTCCATCGTTAGTGATTGGGCCGCCTCATCTGTCCGCACCAGGCCCGACCTTTCTACCAATGCATTCTTACTCTTCATAGACTTGCTAGTGGAAAACTGCCGTATGCAGCCTTTGCCATACAAGACCATGCCCTGACAATTAATCAGTATTAGTAGTCTCCAGCTTCTCTCTTCTTGCAACCTCGGCATGTTAGTAGTGAGTGTTTTAATATTCTTGTGCCTTACGAGGTTGTTAGGTGGAACATTTATTACAAATGGCCTAACGTTTCGACTGAATCGTCGTCTTCAGAGCCTGAATGTTGTTTCAAGCATCAAGACGATGCAACCTACCCCACCAAGCACCTTCGTCAACTCTAGCGGTTCCGACGTCGTGTAGGAACCCCTCGAGAAGACGCCAATATCGCAAGACAGAGACTCACCAGTGGTTCCACCGTTTGAGCGGATAGGTCCGCGGCCACACTAGAGCGCTGTCAGTAGAAAAATGAAGAATACGACGTCTCCGTATAATGACATATCAGGAGACGGCACGTCACGCTCTGTCATTCTACAGTTCGCAGTGGGGTATAAACGGTAGCAGGTCGTTTGTGATGGCAGGACACTCATCTCGGTTGTTCATTCTGGGTTTCCTAGTGAATATCCAGAATGCTTCCAACGCTTTTCTAGCTGAGAGTTCCGTTTCATTCGCCAGCACACTGCACTTTATTTCGAATTCGATTCCATTATGTTCCACAACCTTATGCCTCCCGAGAGCAGTTGTAAGAGTACCGCGTCTCATGCTAGCAAGATGTTCCTTGATACGAGTAGCCAAGACCCTTCCTGTCTCCCCAATATATGTGGAGTTACATGCCCGACACTGGATTTCATATATTACTCCCATTGCGCACAGTCACCAGTTTTCCCGTGTGGGCAAGTAACACAATTTTCTGATATGCACTGCTTGTCGTAGAGCCTGTTACGGACGAGCTGCTGTTTGATGTTTTCATTTGGTATATTTACCAACTGGACATCGTCCTGCAGCTGTGCTCTTGCTATGCTCCGTTTTATTGCAGCGCTTACTTTATCAGAAATGAAGGGGAGACATAAAGGTATCTTGTTTGAACGCGGTGCGCCTTGTGGACCAATATGCCGCCTTCCCCGAGGGCGTGGTGCCGTATAGCCATTCATAATGGCTATTTTTGTGGCAAGCTCTCGTGATTCTTGTCGTTCTACATCTCCTGTGCACATTCCCGTTGCTGTTTGGAACATGTTTCGGACGACAGCGCGTTTCACAGCAGTTGGGTGTGCTGATGTAGCGTGAATCAAGATGTTTTTCGAGCTGCTCTTACGGTACCACTTAACTCGAGTGATACCATTGGATATCTTAACTTGCGTGTTGAGAAACGGCAGCCAACCGTTTTGCGGGGTTTCTCGTGTCAGTTTAATGTACTGTGACTGTTCATTCATCAATCGGAAACACTCATCCATTTCGGATTGTGTTGATGTTACGATGAAACAGTCGTCTATGTATCTACAGTACATTAAAGGCAAGCGCTCCAGCACCGGTTCTTCTATCCTACCCATAAAGCAGACTGCGAGAACTGGTGCAAGACGCTGACCCATGGCTAGCCCTCTAATTTGAGAGTAGTATGTACCTGCCCATTTAAAGATGTTACAGTTCAAACATTCCTTGATTAGAGTCATTATGTGCGCTTTACCAAGTCCAAAGGTTCGTATATTAGCAATATGCCTGTCAAGCATTTCGGATAATGCTTGGAGGGCTTGCTCGTTTTGGACATTGGTATAAAGCGATGTAACATCAAATGACTCTACCACAGCATTGTTTGGGATATCGCAATGCCGCAGCTGTTCAAGGAAGTGATTTGTGTTAGGCAGGTGAGAGGGAACCATGGGTAGAAGCTGACTGACGATGGGCGCTTAGAACCCTGATAATTCCCGGTCGGTTAGGCCACCACAGCAGCTTATGATATGGACGGATCTATATGTATCGCGCTGGCATTGGGAAACTCATGAAAACGGAACTCTCAGCTAGAAAAGCGTTGGAAGCATTCTGGATATTCACTAGGAAACCCAGAATGAACAACCGAGATGAGTGTCCTGCCATCACAAATGACCTGCTACCGTTTATACCCCACTGCGAACTGTAGAATGACAGAGCGTGACGTGCGTCTCCTGATATGTCATTATACGGAGACGTCGTATTCTTCATTTTTCTACTGACAGCGCTCTAGTGTGGCCGCGGACCTATCCGCTCAAACGGTGGAACCACTGGTGAGTCTCTGCCTTGCGATATTGGCGTCTTCTCGAGGGGTTCCTAACACGACGTCGGAACCGCTAGAGTTGACGAGGTGCTTGGTGGGGTAGGTTGCATATCTGATGCTTGAACACACATTCAGGCCTCTGAAGACGACGATTCAGTCGAAACGTTAGGCCATTTGTAATAAATGCAAAAGTATTTGTTTTTTTGATGCTGGATGTGTTACGGAGCTGGGCAGTGGTCGCAAATGATTTCGGCGGAGGCCTTCGCATTGCAGTCGCGCTCGAAGTCGCGAACTATGAACACACATCTTGCAACCGCTAAAGAAGTGCTCTCAGAGAAGATACACCAGGCTGATCAGGCGTTAAGAAGTTGGCCTGTTGGTGGTCTCCTTGAACCGAAATTCAGTTTCTCTTCACCACACCATGGCACGGCAGATATCCCAGCGAGAGGGCATATTTGATGGAGGAAAAATGCTTTCGATCCTTGACTTTACCCAGGTTTTTCCGTTTCACGTGCGTGCACTATGCCCCACCCCTATCCGCTCGGGATTTTTGGGAAGAGCTGAATGAATCTCGTAAAAGTCCTAGGGTAGAGCGAATAGTATCATAGTAAAAAGTGCTAGAACACCGAGAAAAACTCCGAGAAGAAACCTCATCTGGCAACCGAAGGCCGCTGGCCTCACCACAAGGATCCTGTGCGAAGGAATGAGCCTATGGATGCCTCTAGACCCCCCCCCCCGCCCGACTCTGCAGCAATCGCTTCTCCGTTTTCACTGAAGCCTTTTTGGCGACCACAAAAACGTAGCGATATATGGTATAACAAAACGTGAAAGTTTTGCTTCAAGATCTGGAACGAGGACAACCGTCGAGGCGTTGATGGAGTTCGACCCGATAACCAGTACTTCCGATATTTTCCACAGGTTGTACTTGTTGGCAACAATCGTATTGAACTGGAACATATCCCAATGCAGATCGAAGAGGATGGAAAGTACAAGGTGAGCTATTGAATCCCCTGGTGGGATACTGACAATCCATTATAAGAGGAATTAGGGGTGTGGATGTTCCAGGTTCGACTCCCATGAATCCGTGGCGGTCGCGTCAAAGTCCTGAGTTGCCAGTCACCCGTAAGCAGATGATGATAGCCCTGCAAAATCTTCAAGGCGTCTTCATTCGTGGTACCTACAATTATCCAGCAAGAGGAGATGCAATAACCATGAGCGAGGTAAACGATGCCGAATTTCTTAAAAAGGGTCAATTTCTGAAATTTCTGTCGCAGATATCACTGGACGTAGCCGTACCCTCGTCTCCTGATGTGTCTGGATCAACTGCAATTGGCGTTGAGCAGTGTTCCAACTGCCCTCAAGGCTTCACGGGTACATCATGCCAAAACCCTGCTGTGGGATACTGCAGAAAGAAACAGCGGTAAGTGTAGGAAAGGCAAGTAACAGATAATATAAAAGACGCGGTTCCAATTATTCAAAGGCAGCGCGCACGATGGCTGCAGGCGGGTGGTTGTCACTAACGTCATTGGGGAAAGGGTTGAATGGGTGTGGCCGAACGCTCTCTCACAGCCTTGCCACCAGTGACGTTGGCGGGAACCACCTCCCATCCCAGCCATCGTGCCCACTGGCGAAAAGCGAGAGGCCAGCAACCGCAGTTGAGGGATTGGGGGGGGGAGGGACTCTTGTCAGTCGCCTCTGTACGTGGCAAGGAGGCGCTGACCGTCATTAGCCAAAGGAATGCCACCCACGGAGGTTGCTCCACTCTTCTAGGCTGGAACCTGCCAGCGACTCATGAGTTCTAGCCATCTTATGTGTCACCGGACTTGCACAAGCACTTAAATGCCACTTTGTGGAGATTTTTTCGGTACTGGCTCACATTTCCTCTTTCAGTGACTACCTGAACTCTCCGGACGATATGGCGCTCATTGGCTGGTCTGAGCCGTGTGCTTGCAACGGCCACTCAATCACCTGCCATCCAGAAACTTGCATCTGCACGGTTGGTCGTTGCTTTCGGGGGTGGAGGGGGGTGAATTTTATAAGTAGTACAGATCGGCATAAATCGGAGAACGGCGGTGTTGTCCACCCCCTCTAGATTTTCTCGTTCAATACGGTCTTTGCTTCCCCCAATTAACTCAGACTTCTCCGCCAGTTTCCCATATCTCCCTAGCTCCCTACCGATTTTCCAAAATTTTCCCAGTATTTCTCCTAGAGCTGGCGAGGTACATAGCCGGCTCGACGTCAATTTCTGTTTGGTTTTTTTTTTTTTTTGAAAAGATTGAGAAGATCTCAAACATTCGGGAACTTCCTTTCAAATCACCTGCACCGATCAAATCTCAACGAAAATTACCCCTATGGAATTCTCCCAGCTATGCTGTATCCTGGTTTTGCACACCATTCAGTACTACTATTTTGCTATTCAGGATTGCGAGCACAATACTACTGGAGATCATTGTGATTTGTGCAAAAGTGGCTACATTGGCGATGCGAGGGAGGGCGGAGCGAAAGCATGCACCAAGTGTGCTTGCCCACTTGTGGAAAACTCTTTTAGGTGACTTGTTACATTTGTTTATTTAGAAGAGCTGTGCGTAAAGTCTACCTGAACATTTCAGTGACACTTGCGTCGCAGTGGATTACGGAAGAGGGTATGTGTGTAACGCGTGCAAGCCCGGCTACACTGGACAGTACTGCGAGAGGTAAGAAAAGGGTCATCAATTTTAGGCATACTTCCCGTTGATGAGGACTGAAACGCTCAAACAACTGCGTTTGAGGGCGTTCCACCACCAGACAGACAGACGGAATCAGGGTAAACGCTTCTGGAGGCCGCAGTGCTCGGCCCGTGCGCTAGAAAGGTTTCAGTCGTTCGTGGCGCGCTTGTCGAGGGCTATGAGAGAATAAGTTTCCATGAGCGCGCCAAATATTCTTAGTCGCTGGGTCGTTTTGAAGGCATCGTGCCGATCAAAAGCTCCTCACTGCACTGAAGCAGCATCATCAGCGCCCGGGATAGCATGATACGGGTGAAATGGCGGTCACATACCCCACTCCCCCCTCCCAAAATTCCTACTTTCAAGGCGATCCCCGATTATTGATCTGTGACCTGCTATTACCACCTCCTTTTCCAGAGGCGCCTTACGAGACGCTTTTAATCGTATCAGTGATTATTTTCAGCTGTGTGGTGGGCTATTTCGGTGAACCATCGATGCCAGGCGGATTCTGCCAGTCGTGTGACTGCCATCCAGACGGCTCACTGAACGGCGCTTGCAATCCACTCACTGGCCAATGCGAATGTCGTGTCGGAGTGACTGGAAGAGACTGCAGTCGTTGCCAGCATCGTCACGCTTTCATTGGAGGAGTTTGCACCTGTTCGTTCTCTTCCATAGGAGTTTTGAAACCTTCTCTTTTGGTTTCTTTTCCGCTTCTTTACCTTGACAGATTTTGAACTCCCCTTTCTTTTCAGCTTGTGATCAAGGCTGTTATCTACCGCTGATGACCATGGTTGATGAGTTAGAGATGACGTTGGCCAATCAGAACTTCACTACTCTGCGCCCAATCCCATGGAAACGACTTTCCCGAATCGGAAATAACACCGAATGTGAGGAACCTTGCAGTAATTTCCTTATTTCCAAGGGGGTTCCGTTTTGGGTAGACATTTTGGGTGGGATGTAGCTATGAGTAACTGAACTGCATGCAGTAGCAAAATTTTGACGAAATAAAGAGGAATAAGAAAAAGAAGGGAATAAGTAAGAAAAGAAAATCAATCAGAGAAAAGTAACTATAGTCGTTTTGCTGCAGAGTCAGGGGGGGGTGTATCATCGCGCGGCGTCTACCTTTTTCAAGCGATTATTATCGCTTGCACGCAACGTCTTTGGAGAGCGGGCTGGCGTCGCGCCAAACCCAGCCCCCTAATACGCCCTGGCGTCTGTAGCGAAATGACTGTAGAGGCAGCAAAATGTCGGTAGAATATGCCTCTGAGCACGCAAAAAAATCGAATGGTAGAGTTGAAGTAAAACGTTTGCCATCTGGCAGTAACTCTACTATAGTTCTACCTCCTTCAATTCCGCTCATAATAGTAGCTAGTTGACTCATTTAATAACCGTAACTTTTTGGCTATGATTTAGTGATGTTCGAGTTCATGAGAGGACTGGACGAAGGCGACGGCGAAGTGGGCGGAATCGTCAGGGACAGCAAATATGCCAAAGAAGCGTTTGCAGTTGTTGAAGGGGTGAGCAATATTTTCTAGTTCCTATTCGAAACGAATTTCTGTTTGTCCTCAAGTTGTGAGTAAATGGCAGCGAAACACCCCCTCGTGACCCAGCTTTTCCAACATTCTGAAGCTATCCATTTCGAAGCACTGTCCACGTTCGACTTTCGATGAATCTTGGCATGATTCTATTGCATATAGTATGTGATATTAGTAAGCTGGTGGCCAAGATGGCGCAGTTTGTCGACGGGGGGGGGCATTTTGCTTTCCATAGATATGTCGACCCATCTAGGCAGCCGTTTCTCGAGTTGACACGTTTTAGGATAGTGGGCTAGACGATCTTACTTCAGCTTCACA